ATGGTTACTGTTAATTGAAAGTTATTGATATTTTGAAGGTTTTTAAATCACGTTTTTTTTTTTTTTTTGGAAGATATAACCCAAATTTTACAAGAAAATTATTCGGAATTCAGAATTTAGAAGTTCCGTAATCCAGAAGTTATAATTACAAAGAAAACTGAAGGAAAAATTTTCATACGATGAAAATGTTCTAATTTAAGAAGTTTCCGTATTTTTAGAAGTTCCGGAAGTCAGAAGTTTGAAGACAATCCATTTAGAAATAAAAATATAATGGCCAATGTTTTTGTACGGAAACAGGAACGGACCACATGACTATTGCAATACCTAAAGTTTTCTTTAAAATAGTCAAATTAAAAGCCTTAAACCTACTATTCCTCACAAAACAGGTCCAAAGTTATTAAATATGCATAGCAGTCATATTTGCAGTTTCTGAGAGATAACTGTGACATTTTCCACAATTATAAACATCCCTATTATCACAACAGTTAACATGTAGCTTACAGGACAGCTTGATGCAGAACTTACTACAAAAAATGTAATTTTTAAACCTTATTACTGAGATTTGTTCTTTTCTTTTGTCTCTTTCAATAATCATAATATTTCTATGATATATTGAACAGCAATCGACTACAGGATATAAAAATTACCAACAGCGACTCTGCCCGTAACAATAGGATCTACTTGCAACCAGTTTACACGTCTATTCATAATCTAAGTCAATATTTACAAAATAAAACGTTGCAACGGTTAAGAATTATAGCATGGTAAACATCGTAGACAAGACATGTATAAATCACCTAGTTCCATATAAATTTACAGGCCTGCGGTGAAATTTTATTTTTTTATGACATTTTATTTCAAGAAGGCAATCAGTAAAACCTACGAGGGCTGTTCGAAAAGTAATAGGACTAAGAGTCTTGCATCTTCATATTTCAATCAATTTAGAATATTTTATATGAACAGCGATCGTAAAATGTTTGTTTTTATATTATTAAAGCATAAGTTAATCAATGTTTTGTACTTAACGCACTAAATATCTAACACTTTGGGTTTTTTTAAAGACAATTTTTAACGTTTATTCCTCTTGGTTGCCATGGCAAAGAGAGTTCTGCATGAAATTAAATTCTTTGAACAATTTTTAAAGGTGACCACCAAAGAAAATTTCGGAACTCGTCCTCTAATTGATTACATGCTACATAGACTCTATCAATTAAAGGTACAGTATGGGATTTTCTGCATCTACCCAACTTTTTTTTCTAGCCGATGAGAGAACATTCTTAAACGTAACATAGCTATTCTAAACTTATTAATATCAACAATATCTAAATATCTACTAAAACTAAAGTTCACTGTATACAAATCATTTGCGTAGGTATCTTTACACCCATTAATTTAAAAGTTTTACAAAAATGCAAAAATGTTCGTTCTACCTGTTTATCTTTGTAAAAGTCCGCGACTTCTGAGGAATAACACAAACTTGATAAAATCAACTGATCAAAAAGATTTAAATGGTGTTTTATAGAAAGATCTGTAAATTTATACACATATATATTCATTTTTTATGTTCCTTTTAAGGCTTGTTCTGATAACATTATATCTTGTTCTCTAAATGGACCACCTGTGATAAACAAAGTTACTTAGTATTGAAATATTGAAATAGTGATACTATATCGATGAGACTGTCTTTGTACATAAATTCTAAATTTCGAAGCAACAATCCAATTTTTCAAAATATCATTACTTTTGTCATATCAACATTTACTGTAAGCTTCCATCTATCACAATATTGAGATAAGATTTCCAAGGCATCTTGTTTTACCTTCAGCCGTTTTAGAGTAAATAGTCCGCATACAGTAATAAACATATTTTAAAAATACCAGTATCTATGCCCTCGACTCCTTTAGCTAAAAACACATCTTCAAGATCATTCAGAAACATGCTAAACAAAAAACGGGAACAAGCTCTCACCCTTTCTTACTCCTGAATTACATGTAAAAGCTTCACTAATATTATCAAAATGTTTAGCTCTGTATAACTTTGAGAATATTACCAGTCACTCCATATTTAATTAACTTGTACCTCAGTACAAACCAATAGTTTTTTTTTTAAATCAACAAAGGCTACATTAATTTGCTTTTCATTTTTGTTCAAACAATGTGAAATAAGAGCATTTAAAATAAAAACATTATCAACGGTACACATATTGTTTCCAAAACCGGCCTGGGCCTCTACATAAACACCATAAGATTCAGACCAGTTATTCAATATTCTCGTAAATAATTTTTCCAAGAGAACTTAACAATGCAAGACCTCTATAGTTTGATCGCTGATCAACTTCAGCACCTTTATGTATTGGTATTATATAACATTCACTTCATACATTCGGAAAATGTCCTTATTTCAAACAAGCATCGAACAAATAATGCAAATATTGTAACGGATCATCAACTCCATAAATAATTGAGCCGTGTCACGACAAAACCAACATAATGGGTTTGCGACCAGCATGGATCTAGACCAGCCGCGCATCCGCGCAGTCTGATCCATGTTGTTCGCTTACCAACCCTATTACAAGTAGAGAAACTGAAAGCGAACAGCATGGATCCTGATAAGACTGCGCGGATGCGCAGGCTGGTCTGGATCCATGCTGGTCGCAAACCCATTATGTTGGTTTTGTCGTGACACGGCTCAATTAATTCGTTCGCATACAAATCCGGTCCAACGCTTTATTGCCCTTCAAATGTTTAACTTGTTTATATAGTTCAACAATAGTTATATCTATGTTCATTTCATCAAAAATAGCTTGTATATTAACATTCAAGAAATTCTCGTCGAAACGTTAGACAACTCCATCAGCATGGTAAAGAACATCTTCAGGCTAATCTAAGCTTTAAAATAGTCAACAAAAGTATCTAATTTAGGTTGTTTAGGGTCATTTTTACAAACGGTATCTTTCAGCATTTGCCAATATAGACTTGCATTTTTATCTTTAGCATTTAAAAAGTTTATCAGTTCTTTCTCTTCGAGATAAATATATTTTTTGCTTCTAAAAAGTTTTGTATCTTTTTGCCTGGCCTCAGACAAGTTTTTTAAGCTCACCTGGGCTTGCTCAGGGTGAGTTTTTAGGATCGTTGAGTGTCCGTCGTCCGTCGAATGTCGTCCATCGTCTGTCGTCCGTCCACATTTGTTCATGAACATTTTAGCGGTCACATTTTTGCCTCAATCATCATCAAACTTTGTTAGGATGCTTGTCTAGGTAATTGATCGGATGGGTTCGAACATGGGTCATCTCGAATCAAAGGAGCTAACAATAGAAAAACTTGTTAACACTATAGTGGCTACTGTTTTTATCCAATTTCCTGGAAATTTGTCTGAAAGTTTGTTTTAATGATTTATCGAATATGGGTCACCTAGGGTAAAAAACTAGGCCACACCGCCCAAATATGGAAAAACATTTTTAACACTCTAGTGGTCATTTGTTTTACTCAATCGTCATCAAACTTGGTCAGGATGCTTGTCTAGGTAATTGCTCAGGTCAAATATGTGTCATCTTGAATAAAAAGCTAGGTCTCAGCAGCTAAAAATCTTGTTAACTCTCTAGTGGCTACTGTTTTGATCCAACTATCCTTGAAATTTGTCTGAATATTTTGATGGTTTCTAGATCAAGTTCTAATATGGGTCACCTGGGATAAAAAACTGGACAGTCCGCCATAATATGGGAAAAATATTGTTAACCCTCTATTCGTCACATGTTTGAATCAATCATCATCAAACTTTGTCAGGATGCTTGTCTAGATAATTGCTCGGATGAGTTTGAACATGGGTCATCTCGGATGAAAAACTAGGTCACAGGAGCTAAAAATAGAAAAATCTTGTTCACACTCTAGTGGCTATTTTTTATCCAAATATCCTGGAAATAAGTATGTAAGTTTGACTTGATGATTTCTAAATCATGTTCGAATATGGGTCACCTGGGGTCAAAAACTAGGTCACACTGCCCAAATATGGAAAAACCTTGTTAACATTATAGTCACATTTTTGACTCAACTGTCATGACACTTGGTCAGGATGCTTGTCTAGGTGCTCGGATGAGTTCGATGGGTCAAATGAGCGTTCTAGGGCCATCTTGGCCCTCTTGTTCTAAATTTTCATCAGCTTCTTTATATTTAAATCTGTTTTGACAGACATAAAAATCATTCTTAGCAGTTTTACATTCCACGTCATACCATGAATTATCATTTTTCTGCTTTTTCGCTTGAAACGTGTTATAACATAATACTGAAATAGTTAACTATCTGTCTGCAATGTAAGAAAATTATGTCTATTGTAACATTCTCATGGAAAGAATAATTATGTTGAGTTTCATTGCATTGATCGTAGAATTAAATTTTATGTCTTTACTAGGATAACAGTACTTTCCATGACGGTTTTATATTATATATAAATCTAAGTTTTCGAATAGTGTGTTGCTACAGACAAAATGCTTTTGGGCTTTTTCCTTTTTTTCTTCATATAAGGTGACATAACCTTATCTAATTGGACATCTATACCGCTTGTCTTAAATGATTATTTTGTTTAAGAGAAAACAGACCAAGTCTGATACACAGGGTCATCTACACCGTTTGTATTTGATATTCTTAAATAAAACAATGTCCTTATCAGGCACAATAGACTATATTTATTTTATATGTTAAGAGAAGAATTGGCCTTAGAAAGTTTATTTCTTTTACTGTAACAGTAGAATAAAAGAAACAATTTTGGATTGAAAAGTATTCCATGTTATACAGATACATTGAAGAATAAACAAAATTGGTATCCTTAAAAAGTCCAAGTATCAGATTTTTCAGTTTTGTATAACAATGTCTATTTTTTGTAAGGAAGCTATATTATTGTATGACGATGTCTATATTGGACCCTAAATTAAATATAAGAACAAATACAAGTAAAATAGCTACAATTTATGAAGTACCGAACGTTCCGGCGATTGCGGAAGTCTCTCCTTATTTTCCTCTTTAACCACTGTGAATTTTAAAAGTTGTTTGTACAAATTGTAAAATGTTTAATTATAATTAATTCATATGTTAACAGGACGCAGATTTTGATACCGTAATAATATATAATGACGGAAAATTGGTATGTTAAGATAATGCGTGATCAGGAAAAAAATATGATATGATGTGCAGTTAAATTTAGTTCAAGGGCAAGTAAAACAGTTCTTACTTCTATAGCAAATCATAATGGATTGCGTAAATTTTGAATTCGATAATTTTTATTTTTTAAAGGATACCTAATGAATCATCTTTTCATTATCTCCTTTACATGTGCTATATAATACATTAAATATCACGACAAATATATTCACTCATTGATGTCAAACAACCGTATTGTGCTACATTACCAGTTTCCAGTAACAATTTTTAAATTGATGTCGTTCTTATTGGAATCATAAAGAAAGATTTCTTATGAAAAAGATTTTGAATCATAAAGAAAGATTTCTTATGAAAAAGATTTTATAAAGAAAGATTTCTTATGAAAAAGATTTTCTTATTATACAAAAATGTACAACCACTTTTACATGGTAAATCCACGGATTAGCAACACGTACAGAGGGAAATACTGAAAAACACTGAAAATCCGGAGATATAAATCGTAAGTAACTTTTTCGTAAAAATACAATTGTTACAATTGACAAAATAATCAATTGGGTAAATGACCTTGCAAAATGGGACTCTGTAAGATGTACGTGTTCCTAAATGAACATGTCGAACATGTCGTGTTTCGGTAAGTGAACTCTAACACCAGTCTATCTACGCAGTCAGTAGGCAATTATATTTTATGGATTCTTGATTAATATATAAAGATATGTAAAAATAGAAACATCATTGATCATATTATATTGGACACTTATTGGACATCATGAACTATGAGTACCTGATATGTCCGGATATTTTGGTGTGTTTTCAGTATTTTCTTGTGCATGAGAGATCTAAACGCAGTGTGAAGTGGGTTTTTCTTAATATCTTTAATATCTCAGAAAATAACTAGAAAGATAAATAACTATCCTGTATATTTTAGTTTAGAACTATACTTTAAATTTATTTGATAATGGTAAGACGTATTACTGTAACCCAATTTATATTCGCGAATACAAATTTTCGCGTTTTTCCGAGGTCGGACATATTCGCGAATATTAATTTCCGCGTTTTCTTGATTTCCGAAAAAAAATATTCGCGGATTGGAAAGTCCGATGGGGCCGTAAAATTCATTAGCCGACTATTAAGCTTCAATAATTGAGGTCATTATTGGTGTCTTAAATGGGATTAACAATACGCTAGCCTTATATTGTATTGGTAAGTGAATAGTGATCACGGAACGTGATTGACAATGGGCCTCCTAGTATTTCATAAACTGTATTAAAATGTGGATGTTTATTTTGATTGCTATATTGACAGGGAGTTCTTTTGATATGAATTCATAACATTGTAGTAGTTTACTTAGTTTGTGTTTTTATTGCTTTATGGCAATATCCATAACAATTAATTACTTCCTAAAAGGTGCCCGTAAAATTCGAATATATCCGGTCAAGTAGCTTAGCATGAACAACGTCTAAAATAAAAATTACTCTCCAATTTATTCGCGAAATCGTGCGGACTTATTCGCGCAAACAAATATTCGCGCTTCGTGGCCATCCGCGAATAAAGTGAATATTAATTGGTCGCGAATATTCGTTGGGTTACAGTATACACATTTTATTTAAGAACCATACTTAAAATTTAAATTTAGAATGGCAAGAACTATCCTTTACATTTTAGTTTAGAGTTTCAGTTGGTTACTTTAAAATTACCAATTGAAATTCTCCTTGTATGTAAATTTTATAGAAAGTGAGATTGATTTTAGAGGGTCTTCGTAATCCAAGCTATTTTTTAAGAATTTTCAGCGTACACGTTGTTCATAAGTCAAGTCGGTTCGCCGCCTTGTAAATGTTATGTTTTGTGTTCACATAAGAATTTGTTAATCATATGCTTTCAATTTACACATGGGTGTATTTTCTTTAAGAAAAAAACTTCTAATTGTAGTTGATATACTAATTTCCTTGTATTTGACAAGCAAATGTTGAAAACTTTGCTATTCGTCTTCATTTACAGGTAGAAACAAGATAGTATTAACATAAGTCTATCATGAAAATGTAACTGACATAATTTGATATTCTTTTTTTGTCATACCTGTAAACATTTGATAGTTACATCATTTTGTTCGGAAAATGATTTCTTTCAATAAGACTGTTACCATTTATATGTCAATCTAAAAGGAAAAGGAATGGATAAAGTTATGTCTCTCTTATATCAATATCTATCCTTGAAAAAGAAATACCATGAAAGATTTTTTATTGAAATCGTATAATAAAGAAATGTGTGTTTTAAAGCAATGTTTATTACTTAAGAAATAAGGTTATTGGCGCCGTCATTTTGACAATCTTTTATTATCGCGAGGCAAACGGGACCGATATAATTAAAGTATGGTAGCGTACGCTGGCACAACAGAAATAAATCTTGATGGACAATTTATTACTCTTATAGCGAATATTATATTTACATACATGCAGGTGTTATATGATTTTGCAAAATTGCGTTGACATCTTTTTCTCCGCAAGTATAAATAAGAATTATAATTATATAGCTACCAATATAAAAATTATCGCATGTTTCGAACATAAAATGGATGCTTTTGGACTGATTAAATTAATATTGAAGAATCTATATTCGCACATTTTAAACATTTTTATCAGATTCAAACTGTAAAGATTTAATTGCTATTTAGTTGAATGATTATCCCCGTTCGACCATTAATAGGCCCAATATTTGTTGGTGCATTGGTTTATCTTATTGCATGAATTGATCTTGAAATATTGTTAGATTATAGCATATGTATTTGTTAAATCTGTTATAGTGTCCAATTACATAACAAAACGACTTAAATGAACCTAGCATTGTTTGGAGTATCGGGCATCACTCGGTCTGAAGTGATGCGACCGGTGCCTAAGTAAATTTATCTTTCGCTATGATTCGACTCTTACACATGTATTTATCGTATATCTAAGAGGTGGGTTTAATGATATCACTTGCACTTTATTATATACGGCCAATACACAAACATAGCTGCGCCTGCTGATTTTTTGAAATCGGTTATTGAGCGATTCATATTTTGTATCAAGCGTTCAATATTATTATTATTTTTGAGCCAAAAAGTTCTTGAGGAAAATGAATTAAGATTATAAGTAAATTTTAGTAATTAATAATTTACATGTAATGTGCGATTGTTTACGGATCTTGCAGTATAAATCACCAAATTTCTATTTCTAACTAAGTAATTGATTTTTGTTGCATATGTTGTCTTCTTCTTGGTTATCAACATGGACTGTAAGTGCCGCTTGCAATTTGTAAATTTCTATCTTCATTTCACAAATATACGGGGAACTTGATGTATGTCTTTTCCCTGAATTCTGAAGAATTTCTGATTATGAAATACAAACAAAAATATTGCTTTGCTTAATACTATTTAACAAATACGTTATAAAATATTGAAAACATAACGCACAAAATAAGAAAAAGTACAAAATCATTTCTCATTTTTCTTGAAATAAATGTTATGCATTTTGAAGCTGTTAGGTCGTACTTAAACAGAAATGTATGTGTTATATTACATGTAAATGTCAAATACGGAAATCCGTATTTATAAAATCGTCTTCATGAAAGTAAAGGTCATTGCATTCTTAAAATGTATACTCGTATTATTGGTTTTAAGTGTTTCAATTTCCGTAGCTTTCAATTGATAGACGGATGATAATGCACTCAAGTGTCATTTCATAATACTTGTATTTCAAACATAATCTATGTCATAGTTAAGTTGACCCCCTAAATAATGACCTCCACTTATTTGATGTCGTTTGTTTTTAAGGAAAGGTTACCATTTTTATAGAATAGCTAAACAATGGAGATTATTAACGGAAAACGTACATTTTTTTTCATTTAAAATCATGACTTTATTTCAAGTCTGAATGATCTTTTTATGCCCCCGCCATGTAATGGCCGGGGCATATAGTGTTACCCTGTTCCGTCCTTCTGTCATTCCGTCCTTTCGTCATTCCGTCATTCTGTCATTCCGTCATCATCAGTTTCCGTTCATTATCTTAGTAACGGTTGCACATATTCAACTCAAATTTGACATATGGATATATCATGAAAAAATACAGGTCAAGTTCGAATTTGGTCATGGTTCGATGACTTTTGGCAGAGTTATGCCCCTTTTACTTTGAAAATAATATGAAATTTTCAGTTTCCGTTCATTATCTCCCCAACCGTACAACACATTCAACTCAAATTTGACATATGGATATGTCATGAAAAAATACAGGTCAAGTTCGAATTTGGTCATGGTTCGATGATTTTTGGTAGAGTTATGCCCCTTTTACTTTGAAAATAATATGGAATTTTGAGTTTCCGTTCATTATCTCCACAACGCTACAACACATTCAACTCAAATTTGACATATGGATATGTCATTAGAAAATACAGGTCAAGTTCGAATTTTGTCATGGTTCGATGATTTTTGGCAGAGTAATGCCCCTTTTCCTTTGAAAATAATATGAAATTTTCAGTTTCCGTTCATTATCTCCCCAACGGTACAACATTTTCAACTCAAATTTGACATATGGATATGTCATGAGAAAATACAGGTTAAGTTTGAATTTGCTTATGGTTCGATGATTTTTGGCAGAGTTATGCTCCTTTTACTTTGAAAATAATATTTCTGTTTATTATCTCCCCAACAGTATAACACATTCAACTCAAATTTAACATATGGATATGTTTTTGGAATGCCCAGGCCCAGTTCTAATTTGTTCATTGTTCAATGATTTTTGGCAGAGTAATGCCCCTTTCACTTTGAAATTAATATGAAATTTACAGTTTCTGTTCATTATCTACCCAACAGTGTTACATATTCAACTCAAATTTGACATATGGATATGTCAAAGGAATGGGCAGGTCAAGTTGGAATTTGGTCATGGTTCGATGATTTTTTTGGCAGAGTTATGTCCCTTTCACTTTGAAAATAATATAGATACATCTTAGGAATAAGCAGTTTAAGTTTGAATTTGGTCGTGGTTCAATGATTTTGGACAAACTTATCTTTCTTGAATATTGGAAAAATTTTGAACTTTCAGTTTCAGCACTCATACTTTTGTGGAAATGTATGTAGCCATTATTTTGGCTACAAATATGAAATATGCTGTTTTCAAAAGGTTAAGACTGAATGATTTCAGTGCCTTGAACATTGTATGGAAATGGTTTGTGTTAACATTGAAAAGTTTTAAGGGCTTTGAACTTAAAATGAAAACAATAATTTGTGCAAACAAATTTGGAACTAAATATTATAACATCTGAAATTTTGGCTGCATGCGGGGGCATCCGTGGCATGATGACACATTTCTCCCCAGAGAGAGAGAGAGAGAGGGAGGGAGAGAGAGAGAGAGAGAGAGAGAGAGAGAAAGAGACTTTAAAATCTATTCAAGTCAATATTTTAAGGAAAGCGATAGAAACATGTAAATGAGTCTGTCTCTCAAGCTAGGAATCATGAATTCGAGCCTTATTGGGGTCACAAATACGTTTTTATTTTCAAATTCAATACAAGTGAGTTACAGGAAACGGATTTTTGAGGGGTTTAAATAAGCTTCATAAAATAAATATGCTTCAACTAAGTCATTCTTTACTATGAAGGGGGAACGTTTCCTCTCGAAATCTGACTGGGGTCAATATTTAACATGTTTCAGATAAGGTGGATGCTAATTTCGTCTTAACTCGAATTTCTGAACTAACTATTTTTCAGCAGGAGTATAATTATATACCTAGAAAAGGGGTCTTTGATTATCAAGTATAATGAAAAGGGTGACAGAATTCGACTTCCTTTCTGATAAACGGATGGACACCGATATTATGTTAAAACGCCTTTGATGCGTAATAAGCAACTTTGGAATTATATTGTTAAATATTGTTAAAGATAATTTTTCCATGTGTGATTATGTCAATTAGTTTGTGTTTTATTTTACACAATCAGTATTTGACAGAAAATGGTTCACTTTTACCAAAGAATTATTAGCGAAGAGTCAATACTATTAAATGAAAATGACCCTCGATACTGTTTTTAAGCATGTATGTCTTGAGTGTTTTACATGTTTTTAAATGTTTGCACGTTTTGTGATGATGTTCTGTTCTGTTAAATTGTCGTTAACCGTAGGTAAGTTTTTTTCATTTCTCACTCTTATCGTCTTGTGCGCCCTGTCCCCTTCCTTAACCTTACGCCCTTTGTCCCTTTAAATCCCGTATTGGCCCTATTAAGTTCTTATCATTTCATGTATTTAATATCCCATCCTTTTACTGCCCCTTAGTTTGGTGCCTTCTTGGTGCCCAGCTGGTGCGACTAAAATCTGTCGGGGTTGCGTTCCCTGAACATCGCCTTTCCTTGTTGATATTGTTTCTCTATTTCTAAAGAATGTTGACTCCAGTCAAAACTTAACGACTCATATATACGAAGTTAAAGATGCCCAGTCTAGGAATTGCAAGTGTCCTTCACGTTTATCTCAGATGAAAAGCTCGACGAGAATAGCAATGATAAAATATTTTACTTTATCTCACTTGCAAAAATATTTACGTTCTCTTCAGAAAATCTCACGGGAATCAATGTCAGACGTTACTATAAGATTTGATAATATGACTGGCAGCTAGTGCAGTTGAAGGTCTATAACAGGTTCAGTGGCTTCTGAGCACCCTTTTGGTATCACTTGATAATTTTGGGCGCAGCTTTCTGTGAATATCGCCTTGCCTTGTTTGATCTTTGTTGATCCTCATTTCCTTTACATTCATGACATTACGCAATGTGCTCCAAGATTTGTATGAATAACCAAGTTATCCATACACTGAATATATATATATATATATATATTGATAAATATTCAAATGTGGAACATCAAGCATATACATACATGGTGTAGTTGGATATCCTGAAATTTAAAAACGTCTAAAAATATTATTGAATATTTTATTTGTAATATAACACAAATCTTATATCAAAAGTGAAAAATATAAAGAGTAAGCTTGTCTTCATTTGATTTGAAAACAAATGTGGTGTACTTATCATTATCACCTGAGTAATGAATAGCATTGGTAAAATAACAGTGTCGATTAATGTCAATAAGTGCATATCATTACTTATTGAGGATTGAATACCGCTGAAACCGGTGCTAATATTAGTGATACTGCATCTTTCCATTATATCTAAAGAAGAGTCTCAAGCAAACCATAAAAACAACAAGAGCACAAAATGTAAATCTAAATCTAAATGTTATTCAGCCTTGGTAAAAGGTGCATTTAGGACGTAGGTCAATTGTAAGGTCAAGGTCATACTTAAGTCGAAGATAATTTACGACTTATGTTGCTTCAAACAAAAGCAGTTTCCATAAGTTGATCTATTAAATGGAAGGGGTCAATATTCTACAGGTTTCTAAAGGAGGGGCCATTTTTTTTTAAAGAAAATCAGTTCTTTACAAAAAAGAGTCATTCTTCTATAGATTCTTGACCGGGTCTATGTGGTCATATACGTTATACAACCAACATAAACTACGCACAAACCAAACTCAAGATGTTCATGGATACAGAGTTGAGATTGGTAGTGCTTATTAGTTAAAGTCACAAACATTTATAGCCTGTGACCGTATTTTTTATGTGAATTACAAAAATGATTCGTTAATTTTTAAAAATGATGTAAACTATAATATCACAGCCAAACTTATTCAGTTTTCGTTTTACGCATAAGCGCAAGTCTACGTTAAATGTTGGAGAATGAAATCTAATGTTGTTATTCATTTTTTAAAGTTTGTCCAGACAACTTCTCCTATACAACTAATGCAATTTCAATGAAACTTTACAGGATTAATTTAAATGACAAGTCCTTGAGCATATCGTATGGGTTTTCCAGTTAAATGATTTTTGGCCGAGTTATGGCCCTTTAATAATTTTTTTTATTTATTTTTTAGTGTTGTCAGATACAAAAAAGCTTTTCAGGACTACTCCTCAGAAACTACTGAAGCAATTTCATCAAAACTAAAGGGGAATGATCAATACAGTGTCTTCTTGTGCATCCTATCAACATTTTTTGGTTCATGGATTTTTGTCACTTTTATAATCTATTCCATTTCCAAAAGATGATACTTAAAAAAAAATTTTTTGTGTTATTTTCTCAAACTATTCTGTAAAAAAATAAATCGTTTATAAAGAGATTGCAACAATTGCAATCCCTGAAGTGAAGAACACGATATGTTCTTACAGCTGCCACATGGCACTTGACACTTGCTGTTTTTGAAGTATTGAAATCTTTAGAACGTGTAATCCCTTTAAAGAATCAACAACATTTGATTGGGCCTGTGCATGACGGATAATGAAACAGTGCAACACTCCTCAGGCATCAGCATAAGTGGAGCTCATTTTCCAACACTTAACGTGTTTGAAATGAATGACCAAGAAGGACCAGAAAATCATAATCATATATAAATTATAATTTTTGATATTTATAAATTACTGGCTAAAACTCCAGATCAGAGTTTTTTTAAATTGGATAAATCTCAATCTTCAAACATTGAGCTTGGCCAAAATAAAATTAACAAGAAAAATTAAGGTAACACCTTTTTTTTAAATACTTTTCGTTACTCGATATTGGAAACCATATATCTTATCCTTCACTCAGTGAAGCCGATGATATTATATGTTATTTTGGCAGGTAATATATCCACATATATCACTCCAACACCAAATAATTATTTTATTACCCTTCCCCTGTCGATTTAAGACGATTTTGATATAAATCATTGCTACTTCTTATGACACGTCGTAATAAGATTCCCTTTTGATACCCCTTCACCACAACATGACGTCACATAAATACATGACGTATGTTCTTTCGAACCTAACGAATGTAAACAAGAGAAAAGGAGTAGTCTGTTGAACGCACTTTTTTGGAATAAATATCAAGCTTTCACAAGGTCATATTGGATTTCAATACTGATAAGAATATGTTTCATTACTCTATTTTGGTAAATATTAATCATTTGACAGTTAAAAAGTGCTTGTAAATCGGAATTTACATCGCGTAAAATCAAACCGTACGCGCATCGCAACAGCGCATGTTGTTTACAACATGGGGTACCTAACGGGGAAATTTAGTGTGTATATTACCCGTCTGGCTCGGTAATATCAATTTCTTTCGGGTGACCAATATCCAATCAAAAAGGAGGAAAAAATCTGGAAGGGTAATAAATATATTGAGTGAAGCTGATGATATACTAACAAACAAGAATTTAAAATAAAAACAACAAATACACAAAACAGTCGTAAGGAAGGTATATAAGGATTTGTCTTTGAAAATTTCAGACCTATTCATTGCTGCTGATTCTGCTGATTCAGTAATCTTTGTATCAAAAATTTTTGAAAACAGAACAACATGCCTATTCTTGGCCAGATAAATTAGAGATTCATAACCTCTATATATGTGCACAGATATATAATATTGCTGTGAAATCTTAATACTAGTATCTATTTAGTATTTAGTAATACAAGTATCTATTTAGTTCTTATCATAAAATATTGTTACAGTATGAAGCACGTATTTATACTTATATTGTTTTATTTTCTTTCTACACAGACTAAATTTTTGTATGCCTGACAATTAATAAAACAAAGAACACCATGAAGAAAAAACAATAAAGAAAGAAACAATGGAGATGCCATCGGTAAAGTTTATTGTCTGTTGAAAAGTTGTCTTAAAAATCAATATTTCTAGTTCTCAAATTAGATAGAGAATCATAGGTATAAATGGTTCACTATTGTATCTTACATCTTATATGAAATATTTATCTATAATTCTATTATTACAATATATCGTCATAAAAATTATTGTCATATATCTATACTAAATTCTTTTAATTAAAGCGGGTCAAATTTCAAAATTATCATAACAACCATATATCAGTTCTGTCATTTTATATATATTTTCTGAAAAAGAAAGGAAATCGACTTAAACTAAATCATCACGCGTGAAAAGACGCACACACTTTCAAGCATAAATTTCAAGTTCATTCACTTAACATTTATTTCAAATAACGTTACAGAGCAGTGATATAACTAGAGGGCATGAACACTACCTGATGCATATACTGTTTTTGGAACAAGCTTCGCCCATCGTATTAAAGGCCATTTTGAAAAGGGAAGAGGAAAAACTTGGAAAAAATATAAGTATTGTGTTGAATGATAATAGACATACATTTAAAGCACGGTACGGAACAGAGTTTCTACAATTATTTCAAGACGAGAATGTCAATTACGACATTGATACGTGGGACACTCATCAATTATGTGCTGTAACATTAGTTTTGTTTGAATCAGGTCTAACTGATCCAGAAGTTAAATCTACTCAATGTATATATGATCAGAGAAAAGATATTGAAAATTACGTAGAATGTGCCTCTCTAACATACAATACCTACAAGGAGAAACAATTTCTATTGAAAGAACAATTACACGAGTTGATAACGATTATAGACTGCAATTCTGGTTATAATTGTAAACGTATGATGGTTTCATTTGAAACAAAAGTCTTGCAATTAAGCGAACAACAGATAGGCAAACTAACACGTGCAAATGATTTTAAAACTCATCTTAAAATTGCAGTTGAGGTAGATGTCGTAACAGAGAATGATATTACTGGCGAAGGGAACGATCTTAAGCAGAATACAAATGGTAAGTTTTATGTTACAGTACGGATTTAAATCCCGTATTGGCCCTATTAAGTTCTTATCATTTCATGTATTTAATATCCAATCCTTTTACTGCCCTTTAGTTTGGTGCCTGCTTGGTGCCCAGCTGGTGTGACTAAAATTTGTCGGGGTTGCGTTCCCTGAACATCGCCTTTCCTTGTTGATATTATTTCTCTATTTCTAAAGAATGTTGACTCGACAGTCAAAACTTTACGACTCATATATACGAAGATAAAGATGCCCAGTCTAGGAATTGCAAGTGTCCTTCACGTTAATCTCAGATGAAAAGCTCGACGAGAATAGCAATGATAAAACATTTAGTAATCTCACTTGCAAAAATATTGTCGTTCTCTTCAGAAAATCTCACGGAATCAATGTCAGACGTTACTATAAAGATTTGATAATATGACTGGCAGCTAGTGCAGTTAAAGGTCTTTAACAGGTTCAGTGGCTTCTGAGTGCCCTTTTGGGTATCACTTGATAATGTTGGGGGCAGCTTTTGTGAATATCGCCTTTTCTTGTTTGATCTTTGTTGAACCTCATTTCCTTTACATTCATGACATTACGCAATGTGCTCCAAGATTTGTATGAATAACCAAGTTATCCATACACTGAATATATATATATATATATATATATTGATAAATATTCAAATGTGGAACATCAAGCATATACATACATGGTGTAGTTGGATATCCTGAAATTTAAAAACGTCTAAAAATATTATTGAATATTTTATTTGTAATATAACACAAATCTTATATCAAAAGTGAAAAATATAAAGAGTAAGCTTGTCTTCATTTGATTTTGAAAACAAATGTGGTGTACTTATCATTATCACCTGAGTAATGAATAGCATTGGTAAAATAACAGTGTCGGTTAATGTCAATAAGTGCATATCATTACTTATTGAGGATTGAATACCGCTGAAACCGGTGCTTACATTAGTGATACTGCACCTTACCATTATATCTAAAGAAAAATCTCAAGCAAACCATAAAAACAACAAGAGCACAAAATGTAAATCTAAATCGAAATGTAATTCAGCCTTGGTAAAAGGTGCATATAGGACGTAGGTCAATTGTAAGGTCAAGGACATACTTAAGTCGAAGATAATTTACGACTTATGTTGCTTCAAACGAAAGTAGTTTCCATTATTTGATCTATTAGATGGAAGGGGTAAATATTCTACAGGTTTCTTAAGGCTGTGCATTTTTAAAGAAAATCAGTTCTTTACAAAAAAGAGTCATTCTTCTATAGATTCTTGACCGGGTCTATGTGGTCATATACGTTATACAACCAACATAAAAACTACGCACAAACCAAAACTCAAGATGTTCATGGATACAGAGTTGAGATTGGAAGTGCTTATAAGTTAAAGTCACAAAAATTTATAGCCTGTGACCGTATTTTTATGTGAATTACAGAAATGAATCGTTATTTTTGAAAAATGATTAAAACTATAATATCACAGCCAAACTTATTCAGTTTTCGTTTTACGCATAAGCGCAAGTCTACGTTAAATGTTGGAGAATGAAATCTAATGTTGTTATTCATTTTTTAAAGTTTGTCCAGACAACTTCTCCTATACAACTAATGCAATTTCAATGAAACTTTACAGGATTAATTTAAATGACAAGTCCTTGAGCATATCGTATGGGTTTCCAGTTAAATGATTTTTGGCCGAGTTATGGCCCTTTAATAATTTTTTTTATTTATTTTTTAGTGTTGTCAGATACAAAAAAGCTTTTCAGGACTACTCCTCAGAAACTACTGAAGCAATTTCATCAAAACTAAAGGGGAATGATCAATACAGTGTCTTCTTGTGCATCCTATCAACATTTTTTGGTTCATGGATTTTTGTCACTTTTATAATCTATTCCATTTCCAAAAGATGATACTTAAAAAAAAAATTTTTGTGTTATTTTCTCAAACTATTCTGTAAAAAAATAAATCGTTTATAAAGAGATTGCAACAATTGCAATCCCTGAAGTGAAGAACACGATATGTTCTTACAGCTGCCACATGGCACTTGACACTTGCTGTTTTTGAAGTATTGAAATCTTTAGAACGTGTAATCCCTTTAAAGAATCAACAACATT